CCTTTATTTCTAAATTGAAGAGCCCACAATGAAAGATAGCAACAGAACTTCTGTAAAGAGAGTTATTCTGATAAAACTGAGTCGATCTCTGACAGCTTAAATCATAATCAGTCCTGCTCCTGTTGAAATAATCCAGGAGGAGACAGGTAAAGAAATAAGACAATTGTTTTCAGAAAACATGCATCCTGGCATTTGTATGGATGTTACTTTGTCACCTGGCACGGTCTTAAATGTTTTACAGCCTAGTCACACCTCCCACATGACAGGAGCGCCTCCCCCTCCTCTCTCGGCAGGAAATACGTGGAACATCCAAAAACTGCCAAGAATGACTCAATGACGACGAAACAAATCTGAAGTGTTCAGCAGTCCTCCAGAACCCTCCGTTTACCAAACCCATGAGATCTGAAAAGATCAAACCCATGAGAGGCATGAGAGCACCAGAGCTCACCTCCCTGTCAGAGTCCAGACTGAGACAGAGCTGTCCAGGTGGATGGAGGTCATAATGTTATGGCTGATAGTGGTCCAGTCACACCTGAACTCAAACATCTTATATAATCTTATGCTGCTTTACTGCTTAAAAGACAAACAACATGAGGAAACTCTGGGGAATAAAAAAAACAAAGATGTAAATCAAACAGAAAAAACAGAAATGGTATGTTTTTTATTCAAGTAGCCACTCAAGAAGGAACTCCTGACAGCACAATGCAATCAACTAAAATGTCAGAGAGAAGTGGCCCGTGAGAGGCGATCGGGACTTTAACTGCTCCAATCAGCAAATGATGCCGTGGGGCTGTCGACACCTGTCAGGAAACCAGGCTGCGCGCACGAGGAAGAGTAAAAAAGACCGAACATGAGCGCGGAGAGCGGCTGATCTTTAATGGGGGGGGGGGGGGGGGGGGGTGCGTTACATGGCCTTTTCAGCTTCAATCACAGCCACTCACATGATGACGTTATAGAAGTGCTGAGCTTCTTCAGACAGCAGGCTGTTATCTGGCCTTTACTTAAACGTGAAGGATAAATATACTTCTGAGCCCTCATCATCATCCTCATCCTCATCCTCACACATTTCTATCCAGCAGTAATCGTCGTGACAGGAAGAGTTAGAAACGTGAGGGAGAAAAGGCAACGGGAGAATCCTGTGTTTTAAAGAAAACAACAGAATTTAAAGGTAAAAAAAAAAAACTCAAAACAGGAACAAAAAATATAATTTTCTACAAAATTACTTATTTAGGTGTAGTCTGAATAGTTTTAAAAAACGTTGAAGGAGAGGCAAAAAGAAAAGCATCAAATGAAGACAGACCTGGGGACTGGGCTGGAAAAGAAAGAGGGAGAAAAGGAAAGGACGAGTTGCAGAAGACGACCTCTAGCTTTCTTTATGTAGGTTAATTGACAGAGGAGTTAAAGCAAAATGAGAAAAATAAAAACATCTATCATTCAACTCAGTGCGAGGACGTGAACAATGAAGAGTTGGTAACAAACGAAACGATGCTTTAATGTCCGTGCACACACAGACCACACCAACTGTGTCATCCTGCTCTATTTCTAATTATCAGTTAATTGTTATTCCCTCTCGTTAGGAGGGAGGGGTTTAATTGTAATGTAGCCAAGCAGAAAGTCTACCTATACATGCGGGGGACAATTAGCCACCTCCATTAACCCCCGGTTAATTACAGCCTCCACAGCACTTTTTTACACTTCTTTTACCCCTCTCATCTATTCCCAGGATTTCAGCCCCAGGTTTTTATTATTATTTTAATTTTTGCCCTTGTTCCACTTATCTATGATCTAAATCATCACCAGTTTCCTTTAATTCAAATTATACTGTGAGCTGTGCACATAAGTGTACATAAAATGTATTTTATTATTTCTTGATCACCATGATCTTATTATTTGCCTTCACTTTTAATTTCTGTTTAAATTTTAAAAACTATTCTGATCACATTTAAATGTAAAACGAGGAAGTGATCAACTAAAGTTCTGCTGGAAGTTGAGCACAACCACAGACTTCATGTAACTTTGACTGTCTGAGTCAGTGATGAGATAAAGGGATATTTCAGAGCTTTTAAAGTGGGGTAAGAATATCTCCCTTGTTGTAGAAAGACCACTAAAATAAAATACAGTTTCCTTCTGAGCTGAAGGCTGGTCAGAGCAGATCAAAACAACCGCCCTTTAAAAGCTCGTAGTGCTACTGTGAACCAGGAATTAATTTTGGTTCTGAAAACCCAGAAATGTCTAACGTTGACCCAACGGTGTCCAAAGGTTTTCATGTGTGGGACAAACCTATCCAGATGAAAGAACTCGTGGGCCACAAAAATGTGAATTGAACTCTCAACGCGAACAATATTTTGGAGAAAGGACAAAAGTTTATTAATTTTTGTGGAGAAAGAATTTTAAATTGTTGTAAATTCAAAACAATAAAAGCCTCATAAACACTAAGCTTATATTTTTAATAAAAATGATTTACTTTATTTAATTAGTTTGGTCTGTGTTTGTTGTTTTCTTCTTTTTAGTCTGTTCTCAGCAACAAAAGCGTAATTTGAGTAGGTGTCCTTTTTAAAGGGGGTCAATCGGCTTTTTGGACCATGGACGGCCCAAAAGGCTGATCCAAGTTCTGAAAAATCATCCAGCTGTCAGTCGCTACAAAAGATTTATTGAAGGTTTGATAAAGTTGATAGGGGCAGCACGGTGGCGCAACTGGTGGAGCTGCTGCCTCTCAGCGAGCAGGTCCTTGGTTCAAACCCCGGTCCAGGGGCCTTTCTGGGTGGAGTTTGCATGTTCTCTCCGTGCATGCGTGGGTTTTCTCCGGGTGCTCTGGTTTCCTCCCACAGACCAAAAACATGCATGTTAGGCTGATTGGTAACTCTAAATTGTCCCTAGGTGTGAGTGAGAGAGTGAATGGTTGTTTGTCTTGTTTGTGTCTGTGTGTCCCTGTGATGGACTTGCGACCCGTCCAGGGTGTACCCCGCCTCTCGCACAGTGATTGCTGGACATGGGCACCAGCGACCCCCGTGACCCAAAATGGAATAAGCGGGTAAAGGTAATGGATGGATGGATGGATAAAGTTGATCAACTTGTATGCAGATGATATGTTTTATTCAATTAAAAATGTCTAATTTCTCTCTTAATTATTTGATCAGCTGCAACATTTAGCCAAGTTTTACGAATCAATATCCAAAATTCTCCTTTCTGGTAGATTTCAGTAAAGTTATTTGGTGCTTTGTACCATGAAGTGAAAATAAAAAAGATTACAGCCAAAGGTTTGTATTTTGCTTCATGTTGCTCATTTTGAGAAGATTGTTTTTCATCCGTTTTGCTGTTAAACCTAAACGTTATATTAAAAAAAAGAATACCAATTAATTTACAGAAACTATGCATCGACCTCTTAAGCCTGCCGGCCAAAATGGTACCATTCTTAAACTGCAGTTGTGGGCCGCACAAAATCACTCAAAGGGCCGTAAAAGGCCCATGGGCCGCACTTAGGACACCCTTGAACTAGTGTGTAGTGAGGCCAGCTGACTGGACCTTTTCAACACCAGAAACAATTTATTATGTTTGTCGAAATCAGGTCTCTCTTGTAAATGAGTCCTCGAGACTCAATGGGATTTACCTGTCTAAATAAAGGTTGATTGATTGATTATGGGGAAAAAATGGCCATGTGAGTATTTTGACCAAATCCTCACATTAGTTAAAGGCTTAGGAGATTTTATTTAAAATCTGTTCAATGTCGCCAAACAGGAGGCCAAAAACTCCTGACTAAATGTACCCACATTAAATTAAATGCTGTTCTTGAACCCTTTAGATTAAATTCAAAAGCTTGGTCTCTCTGTAAAGGTACCAGTCTGAACTTTTGACATTTTGACACCCTGGTGTTTAAATCGGAAGCACCTGGTAAAACGTAGCAGCTGTTTAAAGCAGAAAGGGGTCACGATGGACCGGTGCCAGTTAACAGGTTGGAACTAAAATCTCCCATGTACAACCTAATAAAAACATGTCCCAAGCTGTGGTTGACATTAAGGGTCATACAACTGAGTCAGAACCCAACAATGAGACCAATGAGACCCGTTGGACCAGTTCACTGCCTCGCCCATGTCATCTACTCCTCACTAGGAGCAAAAACCTGATCCAGAACTTCATTCCTAACACATCCCTGTGTTAGAAGTGGTCCTAAAATGATGCAGGGGTAGGGGTCTTGACAGGGAGGTCCTGGTTATGCTTTTCAGGAATTCATTGATGTTGGAAAACAAGACATTACTGATAGATAACTTTAACCAGAAAACATGCTAGTTTCTCTGACACTGTGGGTCTAAAGACACGTTTTGATCAGTAGAAATAATTTTTCTGTAGCTGTTTTCTCCGTATCCTCCAGACTCATCTGCCAATCAGTTACTGGGAGATGAATTGTCTGAAATCACAACACACATGTAGATGTAGTTTGTTCAAGACGGAGGAATTGAAACGGCCAGACTCAAAAGGAGGAACAGGGTAAACAATGTTCATTGTTCCTTTAGAAGAGACAATCATGACTGATAGAATTAGGCTGCTCAAGAGGGCACAATGGGTTTAAATGGACTCATTAGAGGAGAATAAAATGAACTAATGATTGGAAGAGGTCTGCAGCTAAACTGCTCGGTAAGCAGAAAGAACGGCCATTTAGTTTATTAAATCTGAGCAGAATAGTTTATTACAGAGGACTATGGATGAAAAATAAAGGAAATAGTATTCAAAGCTCAAGTATTTAGTTTTGTTCATCACATGTGTATTGTTTATTGTAGATAGTTTTAGAAGAAACAAGCAATCTGAGTATTTCTGTTGGGATTGTGTTGTAGAGACATAAATTAATTAACACAAAGACAATCAGGAGATGTATTTCTCCTTTTAGGACCACAGAGTCAAAGACCCAACGTTAAGCTAAAGGCTGAGTTTAAACATGAAAACAGACTAAAGGTCTGGCGAGCAGTGGTAACGTGAACAGGTGAGTGTGTGTACACATCTCTGCGTACCTCCAGGTGCTCCAGGATGTAAGGTGGGTTGGTCATGCCCAGCCTCAGCATGGCACCTTCAGGAACTTCCTCCACCAATCTCCACAGCAACGTGGGCAGGTCCGTCCCCACGTCTCTACCATACGCCCCGGTGTCCTCGCTGGTCAACCAGATCTCACACACTCCCTCTGCAGCCACATGAACAAAGAAATCTCACGTCAGAACAATGTTAGCTGTTGTTTAGGTGGTTTTCTTCTCAAAGCTGCAGGGATAACGCAACAGTTTAGTTTTAAACATTCATGTTTTTAATCTATTTCTAAGCCATAACTCCCATGGGGGTGTTCTCCACTGTGACTGTAGCTACCGAGGAACTTGAGAGAATCTCGTGTTTTCATTTCATTCATTAAGATGACACAACATCACCTGTAGTAGGTAATAAATGTTTAAGCTCTGAGCTAAAGCCTGGGGGAAATTTGAATCTGAGTAATCAGGTTGGGTTTTCAATTATATTTTGTAAAAAGTAATCAAATGTAAAGCTGCAATTACTATAAAGAAATGTTGGCACTTAAAAAATATATTCACAAACATTGTCAGTGTTCACAGAGAAACTCTAAACCAGTGGTGTCCAATCGTGGTGGGCCACTTTCCTGCAGCTTTCAGGTCTTTTTCACACCTGATAGTCCGGTAGACTCGGTTCGATTGGGGACCAAAATTCAAAACATTATGTTTAATAAAGTTAAATCTGGTCCTCTGGACATTCAAAAAAACAAAACAAAACAAAACAACAAAAAATGTAGAAACGTTTCGTCTTTCATCCGAAAGACTTCCTCAGTCTGAGGTGCTGTTTTCAGCTCAGTCTCTTAAATAGCACCTTCTCAGAGTGGATCAACCAGTTTGCTGCTGACAACCAAAACCAGCTGCTCACATGCTCAAGAAGGACCATCAGCCTAACAATGGATTATTAGCACACTGATGGCTGTTTACTACTCACAGAGGGCTGAGTGATACTAGCAATCACAGCATTGTAAGAGGGGGACAGTTGAACCCAGAGGCCTCCACCCCTGTTTAATGATGGACGATTTCTTTTCACAAAGATGGCCTCCTTTACTCCTCTCTCAAACCATCGTTCCTCTCTATCCAGGATGTGCACATCTTCATCCCTGAAAGAGTGACCACTGGCCTGGAGATGAGTGTAGACCGCAGAGTCCTGGCCTGATGATGTTGATCTACTGTGCTGGGCCATCCTTTTGGCCAGTGACTGTTTAACATTTTTGTTGTTGTTTTGGTTTGTTATGTTTTTTGAATGTCCAGAGGACCAGATTTAACTTTTTTAGATTTTTCTACCTGGATTATTGAGCACGAATCAGGAAAACATTAGGTCGTTTTCACACCTGATAGTCCGGTAGACTCAGTTCGGTTGGGGACCAATATTCATGACCTTTTGTTTACATTTGAGCTGGTGCGTTTGCATTCACACTGCACTGTGCAGTCGAGCCAACCTGTTCCCCCACTCACCTGTGGTGGCGCTGCACCAAGAACTACTGAAAGAAACAACACAAAAACCTCTGAAGACACTTCTTCTTCTTCTGGAAATAAAAACAAAAATGGAGTGGCGTCAAATTTTAGCGGTTTTAGGAGTTCTATTTTGTCATTTTTCAACAATGGACTCAGCATGAGTGGAAGATGAGGCAGAAGACCATGAAGAATATTGTTTTTCACACAAGGCGGCTGAGACGGATCCGTATAAGGTAAGAGAAATGCGCGTTTGTTTTGGTTGTTTTTACCCAGAATGCCCTGCACTGTAATCCACTTCCCGCTTTTGGAGCTGTCTCCGGTCCGCTTGCATTCATAATGCATTCAAACCGCGCTAGAGCACTTCAACCGAACTGAAACCGCATCAGAGTTCGATTGCACATTCACACCTAAATAATCCACAGAACATCCTGAATGAAGAATCCAGTGACTTGTAGCGAATTTGACCAACGTTATGAAGTGGTTTTTTTTTTTCAAAGTCCTCCAGTTGTTTGGTAGAGTCAGAGGAAATGAAACCATCAGTTTGTGTGAAAAAAAAAAAACGCAATCCTGTCACCTATATGAAGCTACATAAAGTTAGGTCGCAGCAGCTAAAAGTTCAGCAAACATCTGTTTAAATAAATAAATTAATAAAACTTGTCTGCCTTGAAATATTGGGTCCAGAATTAGTCCTAATTTTTATAACGAGATCCGTGGTGATTCTTAGATCCTTTCCTCTGGTGTAATCATGTTTGTCAATGCAGGGGTCACTTTTGCACAGCGTGGGACTCTTATTGTTCTGATTAATATTTGTACTGTGGTCCTGTTCCTTCAAACTATTTACATGGGGTATTTATTTCATCCTGTGAGCGGTGGTAATGTGAAACCTTCAATAAAGTCATTGGTGTTAACCATGACGTACTGTAAACTATACAGAACTGTATATGACGGTATGGCTGTGGACAAATGATCAATATATATTTTGTTTGTTCTGTTTTATCAGACGTGGCCAGGGCAAAAAATAAAATTAAATGTTGCCACAAGAAGTAGTTCCTCCTCATAAACACGATGAATGACTTAATTACTTGGCTTGTTGTATATTGTTTTGTTCTCTGAGTTTTGGGGTATTTAGACTATTTTAAATGGAACATAAAATGTACTGTAGTGATTTATTCTAGGGGTGCACCGATAAATCGTCCAGCCGATAAATCATCTGGCCGATTTATCCTTAATTTTGGGAGATCGGCCGATACTTGTATGAGAAACCGATTTTACCAATATTTTGTAATTTTGACAACAACTGTCTAAACTTCATTTATATTTCAGAGCGCTACCTCATGACCAGTTAAAATAAGTTTGTATTGTTTCTAGGATATTGTTCAAGAGTATGTTTTTCAATATAATAATACTGGAAAATTGACGGTGCACTGCAACCTTATACAAAACGATATTGGCCAAAATCGGAATCAGCAGGTCAGGCTTTTTAGAGATCGTTGATCGGCCAAAAAACTGCAATCGGTGCACCCCTAATTTATTATTTTTTATTTTTTATTGTCTCTATTCGCCAGTGGATCTACCACATCCACCTGCCAGCACTGATCAGAACTCCAGGGAGCACCAACAGAGTCTAACTGGTGTAAAAATAAGCCCGATGTGTCTGTGTTTGACCTTACTCCACACTGATGACCGAATCTGAGTGTGTTTGTTATTCATTTAACACCATGCAGGCCGAACCCCATGAGCTAATGGGTCAGATATTGCCCGTGGGCCACCACTTGATGCTCACTGGCTTAAACACTTTAGGTTTCTGTAGAAGCCTTTTTTCATGACTGTCAGTGACAAGTTTTAAAAATATCCAGTTTGCAAGCAGTCATTTCAGGAACGGGAAGGTCATCGGCACCAACTTCACAGTTAATTAGTGCAACACTTCCTGCTGCAGTCGAACGATCTGTCATTGGGCGGCAGATCTGAAACGCTCTACTGTCTGCTCAAGCTATGTGGCAAGACATATTAAAACACGCACGTGCACAAAAATAGATATGCACTCAAAGAGGCAAAAAGTCAAAGAGCACATGCATCAAGAAAATACACAACCACCATTATCATTAACTGTGCACAAACAGACAGAAAGACACATGTGGCCATTTAGATAGGAGAGATGATGATTGGCTAATTGGACTGTGTGTGTGTGTGTGTGTGTGTGTGTGTGTGTGTGTGTGTGTGTGTGTGTGTGTGTGTGTGTGTGTGTGTGTGCGTGCGTGCATGTGTGTGTGTGTGTGTGTGTGTGTGTGTGTCTAACAGAGATACAAACCATGTGTTTAAAGCCTAACAACAAATGATGACTCTGTGAGGGTCAGGAGTTGAATAAAAAGGTTTATGGTGATCATCATGGTGGAGATGAAGATGCATTAAAAAGGCTGGAGTAACCCATGTCAAAAACAGCATCAAACCAACCACAATCACACATGCTCTGATAAGATCGAGCACACAAACATGAAAACACACATATACGTGGTACAAAAATACTTTTCTTGGCGCAGCACTCATCGTTTCATTTTATCTTTAAATAATTATTTGTAATTTGTGTCAAGCTCTCTTTGAGTTTCATCTCTTATTGCAGATGTAAGAACAATCCATTGTTCTACTGAGGGCCACCCAAAAGCTTTAGGTCAAGCTCCACGCAGGGACATTTTATTACCCTCTACAATTACTCATTATTAATGCAAATCTCTGTTAAAACATAATTAAAGTGCTGCTTTGCCAGAGCACATTCTGTTACCCGTGGTTGATCATATTTGTAGTATTTTAAGTCTGAGAGAGAGAGCAGAGAAAAAAATCTCCTGACAGCTGATGTCAGTTTGTGTGGGAGGAATTACGCCAGCTGAACTGACATGTCAAGACTTTTGACTGCATCATCTGCATCCTGGGAGTATTTTCCTACATTTAGCACATCAGCTAAATGCCATTTTTAAGAAGCAGGTCTGTCCCTGCAGAGTCTTGGCACTGCTGTTTCTTAATGCAAGGCCAGACATATTAATATGGTCTGAGAGCTGAATTAGTTCCTCCGTTAAAAAAGAAACAACATTCCTGAGATTCCAGCAACACAAAGCTGCTGAGGTAGCAAGCTCGTGTATTGTCTGCTATCACAGATCTCTTTGTGACTTTGCTGTTAATTGTGTTTAGAGGAGAACGATGCTTTGGAAAAGTCTCATGTTTACTCAAGGCCACAGGCAGATGTAAATCTCCAGATAAACTCAATAGCCTGCCCAGTAACTTGGCCTCTGGCTGGAATATCAGTTCATTTCTACGAGGTGTACCAATGATGTTGTTGTTGGCCACACATGCTTTTCCATGAGGAAAAACCTGCTTGTTCTTTCTTTATCTGGTGTGATGCACACCGTGCAGCTGCATCCTATGGGCGCATCGCACAGAAAGCCTGCAGTGGTACGGAGCAAACATTAAGAAAGAAAAAAAACTGGCAAGTATTTTACATGTTTTATAGGATTTAAATTGAAAGATAATCGTAAAAAGATTAAACAAGCATTAAAATGTAAATGCACCCAAGTTAGCCAAAGGCTAATTTTAATCAGAAGTCCTGGTGCCTGAAATATTAGTATATAATAGCATATTTCGAGATTAAATTGAGGTCTCGTCCACACACAAAAAAAGTAGTTTA